AACTCAGACTGAGTTCCTAATGACCAAAACTGGAAGCATTTGAGCAAGAAGATAATGATGGCATTGTATTTTAACCCACAGAATAAAATGAATAGCCATGAGTCCATACTGATATAAATGATCAAATAAATAAATGGGAAAGGGCAGCTCTTTCTTACACTAAACTTCCAACCAATAAGGAAGCAGGAAATGGGGGGTAAAATCACCATTAGGCAAACACCACTGTAAATAATTGTTGCAGACGAGATCCACCAATGGGTGCTAAAATTAGTAGGTAAAAATTTGAGTTTAAACAGCTTGCATAGTCTCAAAGTATCTCCCCTCAAATAATTATTAGCTACAAAGGGAAAGTCAGTAACTTTATAGTGAAGAAACCTAGCAGATATCACCTTAACCAAGTGATGAAGGTTAATATCAACAGTGATGAGACCTATCAACCTCATGAATCAGTGATGTATTGCTCTCTACAAAATAACTAATCAGTACTTTTCTACAGAATAACTTCATTCTACAAAATAACTAACTGGGACTCTTCAAAAGGGTCAAAATAATGAAAAACAAGGCAAAACTGAGGAATTATCTCAGATTGGAGGAGACTAAGGAGAAATAACTAAATGCAAGGTAAGATCCTTGACAGCCAGTGGAAACAGAAAAAAATTCATTAGCAGGAAAGCTGATGAAATTCAAATAAAGTCTATAGTTTAGTTAATAGTATTGATAACTGAACAATGGTTATGTAAGGGGCTAATATTAGGGGAAGTTGAGTGAATTCTCTGTACAATATTTGCAACTTTTCCCTAAGTCTAAAATTAATTAAAATTAAAAGTTAAAAGAAAAAGTCGAAGACTGTGTATAATCCAAGTCAACATACAGCAGTAAAATTAACTTACTTCTCAAAGAGAATCACTGTTTTTTGTACTCCTAGTGCCTCAAACTGATCTGACACATAGTAGGTGCTAAATGTGGTAAATAATGAATGACTTTCTAGGATATACTAGTTTAAACACACAAGGACACACAATAATCCCAGCTTACTACTAAAATAAATGTGACATGGTATAAAAGGAGAAAAAATAAAGACTAATAAAGAAGGGGAAAAATTAACTGGTATAAAATTCCATTTGGGGAAGATTTTTTAAATTGAAAAAGGCTCATATACACTACCAAATGTAAAATCGATAGCTAGTGGGAAGCAGCCGCATAGCACAGGGAGGTCAGCTGGTGCTTTGTGACCACCCAGAGGGGTGGGATAGGGAGGTTGGGAGGGAGACGCAAGAGGGAGGAGATATGGGGATATATGTGTATGTATAGCTGATTCACTTTGTTATACAGCAGAAACTAACACACCATTGTAAAGCAATTATACTCCAATAAAGATGTTTAAAAAGAAAAAGCCTCACCCCCATGCTAGCTCCCTTCGGTCTACTAATACCAACGCTCTCTTAAGGACAGAGGGCCCCACCTCTAATAAATGGCCCTTTCCCTTAGTCATGCCCACCACCTTTTGCTTCTCAGTCATTGAGTTTCCAAAAGCAGTACTCCTCTCTTCTGACTCTGGGAGGAGTTGCTGTCTAGTCTGCCACTTCCTCCCTGAACCCACAGAGCACACCAGGGCCGTGTCCCTGCCTCTGGGCAAGAGCTGCCTGCAGGTCCTACATCAACTGTTTTACAACAAGGGCTGGCATGAAACAGGAAACATGAAATCAATTTAACAAGCAAGGGACTGAAATTGTTTTATTTAGTCTTTGTTATGCAGCATGAAAGAATTCCTAAGAATTTCCAATGGGGGATTTTAATGGAGGCTCGTTGTGTACTTATGTGCCATTCTCAGCTATCCCAGGGAATCCTGTAGTGGGGTCACTTGCAGTTCCCTTTCTGCAGTTATTAGAGGCACATCAATGAGAAGGCTTGAGAAGGTCTGAAGGTCTGAGGTAATGGAGAAAACAAGGGCTTTGAAGTCACAAAGAGCTGAGTACAAATCTGGTTACCAGATGCATGAATGGCTTTGGGGAAGTGACCTAAATTTGATTCCGTTTTGCCATTTATTTTAAAAACATTTTTCAAAGTGTGGTTCCAAGAGTGCCTATATCAAAGACAGAGGGAAATTTGTTAAAAATGTAGATTCCTGGGCCCTACTCCAGAGCTAATGGGTCAGAACAACTGGGCCTGGGACTCAGGAAAATGAATTTTTAACAAGCTCCCCAGTTGAGTCTTATACGCATTAAAGTTTGAGAACCACTGAAATAAGAGATCGGACCTGTAATGCAACAGATCCCTCAGAAACATTCATTTTCCTTTGGGTGAGGAAAAGCAGTAAGAAGATATGTGAAAAGGAGATTTTAAAAATGCATTTGAATAGCTTTCAACTCCATCATTTAGAAACTTATTCTAAGAAATAATCAGAGAGGTAGACGATATTCAAACCAACATTACTAAAATAACCAAAAATTCAAAAGATTCAAAATGTTAACAATAGGGAACTGATTTAATTAATTACAATACCTACATATAATGGAGCACATGCTTTCCTTAAAAATGGTGCTTAAAAACTACATGGGGGGGGCTTCCCTGGTGGCACAGTGGTTGAGAGTCCACCTGCCAATGCAGGGGACACGGGTTTGTGCCCCGGTCGGGGAAGATCCCACATGCCGCAGATCGGCTGGGCCCCGTGAGCCATGGCCGCTGAGCCTGTGCTTCCGGAGCCTGCGCTCCACAACGGGAGAGGCCACAATAGTGAGAGGCCCGCGTATCGCAAAAAAAAAAAAAAAAAAAAAAAAAGAGAAGAACACCACCACTAACTTGCTTTGAATGTTTCCACTTAGAATTAAAGATCTTCAAAGAAATGGTTAGTTCTCAAGTCTTGCAAGCATCTCTGGAAAAAACACAATTATTAGCTCATTTTAAAGTAGATACTAAATACTTATCCTATAAAGTGGCCCACAGAATATACTAAGTGGCCCATAAAATATACTAAGAGAGTTAGTTTTATTGCCCCCTCCAAGACCGTGTAGTCAAACAGTTCAGTACTTCTCTTTAACCGACATTTTTAATCAGATTAAAAATGCACACTGAAGGGAAGCAAAATATGCCACACCAAAATATGCCACTTTGGCATACTGATTACTTTGAATTAAAGTTACTTAAGAAACAGCCAGTACAAGGACACTTTCACCCTCTTTTCTCCCCCTGAAAGCAGGAAATAAATCTCCCATGTGAAAGGTACCTTTTCTATACCAGGAGGGAACCAGGATCAGGCATCCTTATTATCAGAGATAAGAATTCAAGGTAGAGGGACTTCCCTGGTGGCACAGTGATTAAGAATCCGCCTGCCAAGGCAGGGACATGGGTTGGATCCCTGGTCAGGGAAGATCCCACATGCCATGGAGCAACTAAGCCCGTGCACCACAACTACTGACCCCGTGTGCCACAACTACTGAAGCCCACATGCTTAGAGCCGGTGCTCCACAACCAGAGAAGCCATCGCAATGAGAAGCCCACGCACGGCAACGAAGAGTAGCCTCTGCGGGCCACAACTAGAGAAAGCCTGCGCGCAGCAACGAAGATCCAATGCAGCCAAAATATAAATTTAAAAAAAAAAGAATTCAAGGTGGAAAGCACTGTATCAACTAGAGAAAGCCCACGCACAGCAACGAAGTTGTCTTGCCAATTCTTCACGTATGTATTGTTTCTTTGTCTAAAAGATATAAAAACTGCCTACTTTGGTTACTTCCTGAGCCTCATATTTTTATGGGATCCCAATGGTATGAAATTTAATGTTTCTCTCCTGTTAATCTGTTTTATGTCAATTCAACTTAATTATTAGACCAGCCAAGGAACCTAGAAGGGGCAAGAAGAAAAATTTTTCTCCCCTACAACACAAACAGGCACATGAACATTTTGCAATTTCATGGAGTTTAAAGGCCAACCCTGCTCTAGAAGATAAAATTCCAAAAAGATAAACTATGGTCCTATTAAGCATTATCTCCTCCCCCAGAGACACAGTAAAGCACTCTGGCCCACCAGGCCAGCCCAGGTGCCTAGGATAGCCCTGGGCCCCTCTTTTTAAGCCCACTTTCTCAGCCTGGACCCTGAATCTTATTTATCTCTAACCAAGACTCCTTGACTTTCTTGCATCCTCAATGTTATTGTCCTTTCTTAACAGAAATTTAGAAATTATAAAAAAACAAACAAACAACAGCCTCAACCCTCAAATTTGTCTTCTTCCTACTCCCTTTCGTCACCAAACGGCTGGAGAGGTCTCCCTGTGCTCCGGCCGCCTCCACACCCTCATCCCTCACCCACTCTTGAACACTCTGCAACCCCGGCACACGCCCACCCTGTTGATAACTGCTCTCCTGAGCCTACCAACCCAAAGGCCTTTTCTCAGTCCCAATACTCATGGACTTTTCTGTTTTCTTCAAACCTAGAGTTAGCCCTTATCTAATGGAAGACCGAACACCAACAGATACGGATTGACAGGCAACGGATGGACGCAGAGCCAGACTAAGGGCAGGTATCTCAGGTACTTTAAAATCCTGTCGACCCTCACCACTCGTCGGCCCCTGAAGGTCCCAGGCGGGGATCAGCAATGGGTTTCCCAGTAGAAACGCTGGGGAAAGAAGGCTCCAAGGAGGAAGGGGCTTCTTCACGTTGATTCTCCCGGCAGGGAGAGAGGTGCTGGTGGCGACTCCAGAAACGCGACGCGGGGCCTCGGAGGCCGACCCCTGAATTCCCACCTGGCAGCATTTCGCCTGGGAGCGCCGCGGTGCCGCCCGCACCTGCGCTGGTGCCTCCCGCCGAGCTCGGCCTCCGCAGGCCCCCTGCCCGGCCCCACCGCCTGGGCGGAGGCAGAACGGCCCTCCAAGGCCCGGCCCGCGCCCGCCTTCGGCGCGGGGGACTGACCCGGCCCGCCGCCCGGGGATGCCCACACGGCGCCCGCTACCCTCCGTGCGGAATTGCGCTTCCCGGGCGCCGGCGGAGCGGAGGCCCCGCTAACTCACCCCTCACGCGGCCTCGACGAGCACCTCCCGGAGAAAGGGAAGGCGATGAGAAGCGGCCGCAGGGACCGCCCCCGCCGCCCGGGAGGAGGCTCCGGCGCGCCGGCTCCGCCCCCCGCCCGCCCCGGGAGTCTCTTCGGCCGGGCCCGGGGGCGAGTCTGCGCGGTCCTCCACTAGACCCCCCGGACGCATTCCCCGCTCCCAGCTCCGCTACGGTCCCCCCGCCCGGCCACCCTCCCCGGGCGATGGAAGGAGCACCTGGAGGGAGAAGGACAGCTTGTCCTTTGGGTGATCTTAATAAATCCTTGTGCCAATACTGCGCTAGGGTCTGGGCGCTTCCCAAATTCCATCCTCGTAAGTACAAAGCTTTGGGAAGGAGGTAGGAACTTTCCCATTTTACGGAGTAGGAAACGGAGGCTTTAGAGGTTAATAAATTTACCTTACATTACCCTGACAGCTTTCAACTTTGTCAGCTGCACAATGTACCGAATTAACTGACTCCCATTTCACAGGACTACTGAGAATATTAACTGAACCAGTTGTGAGATGAGACATCCAAATTTCTTCAAAGATATTATTACAGAAAGCCAAGCAGAATCATATTTATACTAAAGATTAGAGTGAAAAATCAGAGTGGGTTCTGCTTAGGCAGGCAGGATAGAAGACTAGATTCTCCAAGACACCCTTCCACTCAATGGGGAAGTAAGAGAGTCTCCAAGAACCATCCCTACCCCAAAAGGAACAAACCATGGGAAGAACCAGTGCTGGGATGCTTAGACTCTAAGCAGGAGACCTGGGCTGAGGGCATACGGAAAGTCTCCGCAGACACTGATTTGGGACCGACATGAGAAGAGCCAAACCTGCGCCTTCCTCGTCAAGCCAAGGCTGCGGAAGAGCACTAAGGAGTTCCCAAGCCTCTTGTGCTCTGAGCAATGGAAACACACTTTAGAGGATGTATCCTCAATACACACTCCATAGGACTCAAACAAATTCAATTTTAAAAAACAATTTAAACAATTTTTAAAAAAATCACCAAGCACTGGAGGCCCACATGTAAGGACAGCCGGCAGAACTAATACCCAAGAGATTTAGACTCCCAAGGACATCAGATACTGGAATTGTCTGACACAGGATACAGGAAAGCTCTTTTTGAAATTTTTAAAGAAAAACAATATCCTAGAGGTTACTTACCAGTTACAAAGAGGATATACTACGCATTGGAGAAATCTGGCAGATAACACCTTAACCAAGTACTCAAAGTTAATTTCACCAATAGTTCAAACTGACATCACACATGAGGTGATGCTCTGAGGACATAACATCACCATTTTTGTATTCCTGCCAGAAATACATGACTAGAATTTAATCATGAGGAAACAGTCAGACAAGCCCAAATTAAAGGATATTCTACAAAACAATTGACCTGTACACTTCAAAAATGTCAATGTCATGAAAGACAAGGAAAGATGAGGAATGTTTCAGATTAAATGAGACTGAGGAGATTTGACATCAAAACTCCTGGACTGGGACTTCCCTGGTGGTCCAGTGGTAAAGAACCTGCCTTCCAATTTGGGGGGACGCCGGTTCGATCCCTGGTCAGGGAACTAAGATCCCATGTGCTGTGGGGCAACTAAGCCTGCGTGCCACAACTACTGAGCTTGTGTGCCTCAACTAGAGAGAAGCCCGCGAGCCACAAACTACAGAACCCACACGCCCTGGAGCCCGCGCCACAGCTAGAGAAGAGAAAACCTGCATGCCACAACTACAAACAAGCCCACGCGCCACAACGAAGAGCCCGCACCGCAACTAAGACCCGATGCAGCCAAAAATAAATAACATAAATAAACAATAAATAAATCTTTAAAAAAAACAAACTCTTGGGGGCTTCCCTGGTGGCGCAGTGGTTGAGAGTCCGTCTGCCGATGCAGGGGACACGGGTTCGTGCCCCGGTCTGGGAAGATCCCACATGCCGCGGAGCGGCTGGGCCCGTGAGCCATGGCCGCTAAAAAACTCCTGGGTTGGAAAAAATTTTGTTACAAGATATATTATTGAGACAATTGGAAATGAGTATGTACAACATGGTAGATTTAAAAAAGGAGTGTGGAAGTGAAGCTATGCCAGTTCTGAGCCCAGCCTTTTTTTTTTTTTTTTTGCGGTACGCAGGCCTCTCACCGGCGTGGCCTCTCCCGTCGCGGAGCACAGGCTCCGGACGCGCAGGCCCAGCGGCCATGGCGCACGGGCCCAGCTGCTCCGCGGCATGTGGGATCCTCCCAGACCGGGGCACGAACCCGCGTCCCCTGCATCGTTAGGCGGACTCTCAACCACTGCGCCACCAGGGAAGCCAAAGCCCAGCCTTTTAAAGGCAGTTTCTGCTTCCACTTTCACTCTCTCCCATGTGACAAAACAGTCACAGGCCAGCCCAGATTTAAAGGGAGGGGCAATATAGCCCCATTTCTCAGTGAGAGGACTGTCAAAGAATTTGAGGCTATTTTTAATCTACCATGCTGTACATACTCATTTCCAATTGTCTCGATAATATACCTCAAAACAACTTTTTTCCAATCTAAGACCACATATAAAGAAATCTCCTTAGTCTCTGTTATGGGCTGAATTGAATCTCCTCCAAATTCAGATGTTGAAGCCCTAACTCTCAGTACCTCAGAACTGACTATATTTGGAAATTTGGCCTTCAGAGAGGTCATTAAGTTAAAATAGGGTTTTTATGGTAGGCCATAATCCAACATGACCAGTGTCTTTATAAAGAAGAGGAGATTAGGACAGAGACAGCATAGACTGGGGATGACCATGGGAGAACACAGGAAGAAGGTGGCAACCCGCAAGCCAAAGAGAGAATCTTCAGAAGACACCAACCTGTCAACACCTTCATCTTAGACTTCCAGCCTCCAGAATTGTGAGAAAATACATTTCGGTTGTTTAATCCACCCAGTCTGTGGTATTTGTTATGGCAGCTCAAGCTAACTAAAACGGTCTCCATTAATCTGAAATAGTTTCTCATCTGTCCTTTTCTTTCATGACATTGACATTTTTGAAGTTTACAGACCAGTTGTTTTGTAGAATATTCCTTAATTTGGGCTTATCTGTTTCCTCATGATTGGATTCAAATTGTGCATTTTGGGCAGAAATATGATAAAGATGATATTATATCTGCAAACATCGCCTTATGTGTGATACCTATTTTTATTATTGGTGATCTCTAGAATCACTTTTTATTGGAACCCTGAGCCACCATGTAAGTAGCCCAGCTACCCTGATGCTACCATGCTATGAGGCAGCCCACACTGGCCATGTGAAGAAGCCAACAACCACTCAGATCCACCTCCAGCTGAGGCTTAGACATCATAAAGCAGAGATGAGCCCTCCCCACTGTGCCATATCTGAATTCCTGACCCACAGACTCATGTGATATAATAGTACTACATTTTTCTTTTCAACCTCTAAATTTTGGGGTCATTTGTCACATAGCAATAGATAATCAAAGCTGACCATATATTATATGATAATATTCTATCAATGTTAAATTCCTTGCATGTGATCCTTGTATTGTGGTTATATAGGAGAGTGACTTTATTCTTTTTTAAATTTATTTTATTGAAGTATAGTTGATTTACAATGTTGTGTTAATTTCTGCTGTACAGCAAAGTGATTATTATACATATATACATTCTTTTTCATATTTGTTCCATTATGGTTTATCACAGGATATTGAATATAGTTCCCTGTGCTACACAGTAGGACCTGTTGTTTATCAATTCTATATATAATAGCTTGCATCTGCTAATCCTGAACTCCCAATCCATCACTCCCCTCCCCCCTCCCCCTTGGTAACCACAAATCTGTTCTCTATGTCTGTGAGTCTGTTTCTGTTTCATAGGTAAGTTCATTTGTGTCATGTTTTTGATTCCACATATAAGTGATATCATATGGTATTTGTCCTTCTTTGAGATAAACAAAATGGATTAAGCTCTAGCTGGACTAGTCAGGAAAAAGAAAAAAGACTAAAATTCTCAATATCAGGAATTAGGGAGGTGACATCACCATGTATACTATAGGTATTAAAAGGATAAAAATAGATTTTTATGAATAACTTTATGCCAATAAATTTCACAACTTAGATAAAATCCCTTGAAAGACATAAATTACCACAGCTCCCACAGGAAGAAATAGATGAACTAAACACTTCTTTATCTGTTAAAGAAATTGAAACTGTACTTAAAAGCCTTCCCACATAGACATCTCAAGGCCCAGATAGCTAGTAAATTATAGAATTATAGAATTCACTAGCTAGAAGAAATAATATTAATTTTACACAAGATTAGAAATAATACACAAATTCTACACAAATTAGTATTTGTACTAATACCAATTTTACACAAAGAAGAAATAATACTAATTCTACACAAGATTGTCCAAAAATTTGAAGAGCAGAGAATACTAACTCATTTCATGAGGCCAACATTACCCTCATATCAAACCCAGACAAAAATATTACAACAAATGAAACAACAGATGAATATCTCAAATATACATAGAAGCAAAAATTCTAAACAAAATTTTAGCATACTAAATCCAACAGTATGAAAAGGATAATGCAACATGACCAAGAGGGGTGAGTTTATCCCAAGAATGCAGGATTGCTTTATGTTAAAAAATCAAACAGTAATTCACCATATTAGCAAACCAAAGGAGAAAAACCACATAATCACCTCAATAGATGCAAAATCTGCACTTGACAAAATCCCATAGCCATGACTGACAAAACATTCTTAGCAAACTAGGAATATGAAGGAACATCCTCAACCTGATAAAAGACATTTACAAAAATCTATAGCTAGCAACATGTTCAATGATGAAAGACAATGCTTTCTCACTAAAATCAGGAACAAGACAGGGATGTCTTCTGTCACTACTCACATTCAACATTGTATGTAGATACAAAAACCCTAAACATAATTTTAACAATCAAATTCAACAACATATAGAAAGAATACTACATCATAACCGAATGGGGTTCACAAATCAATCAACGTAATTCACTCAATCAATGTAATTCAA